TTTTTTTGCTGCCTGGAAAAAGAAAACCCTCTTTCACTCGGCGACCAACGTCATTCTCGAGGAACTCGACTGACGTGCCCTCTGACGATAAAAATTGCCAATCATTTTCTATGTTCTTCGTTTTGATCGCCGCTTTATAAAAATTCATAAAATTCAATATTATATCCGCCGTTTACGTTCATATCGTACACCACAAGCCCTAATCGGGCGACTTATAAATGCCTGCATTCTCCCCCACATTCTTTACCGCTCTCCAGTGCTCATTCTTGCTTCATATTTAGGCGTATCTTCTGAATGTTCTCTTAAGATGCCTGTGTGTCCTATGCTCTTTGTAGCTGATATTATAGTGCGGCGGCACTTTAAAGCGTTCTAGCAATTTGCTGATTACATTCTTGGTGAGGTCGCTAACCATCCTCAGTCTGAACTAATGGCTGCGAAGTCTTTCGTACTGTGTGCTGAAGTTTCTGACAAGTTTCTTGCATATCAGCACTCTATACTCCCATTCCTAGCACGCTACCTCATGTGTGAAGAAACGGAAATTCAAAAGTTAAATCAGAATTATCTCCATAACAGATGCGGATATCATGCAAACCTTTAGATTTTGACTATTTTATTACCTTTTTTCTTGGTCTCTCTCTCCCGCCCTCTGAAGTCACACCATTCCCCTATTTCACTGAATCGAGTATTTAATCGTTAATACCGAATTCGTTTTTTTTGTCGGCCCACCTTTGCCACGGATTCGAGCCCAGCTCTTGAATTTTGTGGATAAGGTCTAATCAAAACTTCATAATGGATGCTTGTAAACTCCTGAGTGAGCTAGGCCGATAAAAACGCAACAGAGCACATACTCCATAAGTCACAGAGTTTAGCAAAACCCAACTTCCATGCAGTAATTATGAGCACATGTAGAGCGCCCTGACACATGTATGGTAACACTAGAAGGCAGGCATCCCAAGAAACGTAATTTCAAGGAAGGGCGTCCTTTGGGAACTAATGTCCTCATTTTCCCCAAGAACGCTTTCCTTGAGATAGTAACACCCTATATTCTATTTGCTGCCAATCACTAGAAATCTTATTCATGGATAGGAAAGACAGAGGGAGAAACGGACGGAAAGACTGCTAGTGCGTGATGATCCTCCGTCAAAAAAGAGTTAGGATAGGTTGTGCAACATTATCATGTCTATGGTTACGGGAAGCAAAATTTTGTTTGTTTAAGCTTCTATGGCATCTCCAGACAGGTTAAAATGTTTAAAGGCATGCGCAGTTGTTGGATTGCTTCTCCATAAAGATTAGCTAAACCGTTTTGCGTCTTGTCGGTACTCACTATACAACGCGCGCCGTAATGATCGTCGGCTGTTTTATATTGCAGCAGTGCATTCCTGAGGAACGCTATGATTTCTAATTTGTTTTTTTTTTCGGGGGAGGTTAAGATATTTATGAACATCGCGCTATTGTCCGAATTATAATGCGTAGTAATAATGAGATGGTCCACGGGATTCAATAACCTTCCCCTTGCTGACGCCGAGGACGCCGAATTTTTTCACAATCGCGTCAAACAGCTTTACTTTAATTAATAATCAACCAACTAATAATAAATTATTTGATTCTAAGTAGCCATCGTCAATTGGGTAAAGTTTCGGGAAATTAGTAGCTTAGCGGCTGCAAGCGCTTCCCTAGACACTTTGCGACACAGTTGTTACGACACCGTTTTAAAAAATGCGCGTTGTACTTAAAATGGTCCTCCTTATTTACGACTATTATTTTTAAATCCACAATTTCATACTAGTAATTATTTTTCCCAAGCCGTTTAAACTCTCGTATACCAGCACCCCTGTTTTACACGAGTCCTAGATTATCAGTAGCGAGGTATGATTACTGTTGTCAAAAAAGCCTGGAAACTTCAGAAAAATTCATTAGATCAGTAAAAATAGGTAAGGAGACATCAGATACGCATGTGAATCGAGGTTCTCCAAGGATGAAATGGTAGACTTCAAAGTCTAAAAATACAGTGGGAAGGTGTGTTAAGAAACAGAATTGGGGGATTGGTTGAAGCGAATCAACTGTGAAATGCAATTCAAGCTGTTATCTAATCGGAAGATCGGGTAAAGTGTTCCACGGCAAACTGTTCAAAGAAGGGGGTTCAAAAAAGTGGTACGATGCAATGCCCATCTGATCCACTGTCAATGTGCGTTGGGCAGTGGAAGGGACTGCGTTAAAAGGGACTGAGCTTCTGTACTGCAGGTCCGATGTCGCTGACGCTTTTTGACGTCGAGCGATTCCGACTGGACGATGCAGTTCAGCACTTCCAACGGTATCTTAAACGTTGGATCCTCTGTCAGAACTATATCATAGATATCCATGTAGGTATCCAGCAGGGTTTCGACCTGCAGTAAGAAGAAATTAAGAAAAAAAATTAGTAAACCAATGACAGGAAAGGTGATCTGCAAACCAAGACACATGCTCTTCGCTGAACGAAAGAAATAAGCGTAACTCGGTTGCACCCTACCCTTTTTCTTCCTTCCGCCCGTCTCAATGACCTCAAAACGCCAACCTCGATATGCAGGGGCCGCGGAGTCCATGGCTATTAACTATAACCACTTAAGCATCATGTCAACCTCCAATATTTTAAGTATCTAGGTAAATGTATACGCCAGATTATAAAACTACGAAAATATATGTTTGCCAACTTGACTCTTAAATCAACAGGAAGTGAGACAACTCCAACGACAAGGTGATACGAAAAACCCAAAGTGGTACTTGGTGGTTTAGATACCTACGTGGTCTATTCATATGACGTCGGTGCTCAGAGGTAAAAGGGCAGTGCACAAATAATACACTTATCAAATAAAATTAAGTCGCACTGCGACACGACTAAAAGCAAACCAAACAGACCACACGCATCTCGAGTTACCAACAGATCAATCAAGGAAGGACCAACTCCGGTCACTGTTCTGAGTGCAATCACGAGAAGCTTGGCGAATAGAAGCCCTCAAGCTACTGCTGTGAGGTGCACTCCATACCGCCTCAAAAATTCCCTTTATGCCTGTAAAAGGAGTCACGCTCACATCACTTCTTCGCACAGGTATCTCGTCTAAATATTGATAATATGCGAGAATGCGAGAACACAGACAGTAACAGTCAGTACCACGCAACTCATTTAAGTAATGTAATTAACCAAAGTCAAGACATATGCACCAAGTAGTGGTTACGGCCAACGAAATCTGATGCTACCATCAGCAAAGCAGATAAAAATCAAGTTAAGGTTTGGAAATGTTTGCGGACTTACGTTCTCATTAAGGAAGCCGATCTTCAAAATATTTACAGGGGAATCCACACTATCTCCGCCGATACC